CCATTTTCTCCTGGATCATGGGAGCTTCATTCTGCTCCCCATCCCTGGCTTCTGGTTCACGGCTGCACTGACACCCGGAGTCCATGGGTTAAAACGATCTTTCTCTGGTCAAAATAGCCAGGAATTTATCTAAAAGTGAAGTCTCAGCTCTTTTAATTTTTTTTATTTTTCTTAACAAGGTATTACTAATATTTTTAAAGTCACTCTGTCAGTTTCTAAGGTGTTTGCCTACCAGCCAGTGTTGTTCACTCCCAGGGTTAATAGATAAAGCTGCAAAAAATTTGCAGATGTTTTGCAATGTCGGTGGGTGTGTCTCCCATCCTCTCTGGTAGCCTGTGCCTGCCAGACCAAACTGTTTGCAGCAGCCACATGCAGCCTCTCTGGGACCTGCTGTTGCCCACCTGCGTGCGCCAGCTGGGCTCTGGCCCTGGACTGTGTCACTCCAGCCTATTTGCAGTTGGTGCCATCACCTCTTTATTGCTCTTGTTACTTTTCTGAAGTCCCTTATTTGGTGAGGGCATTATGTAGCATCCTGCTGGGCTTCAGAAAGAAAAGGTCTGCATGCAGCCAGAGTACTGTAATGCAGACTTTGTTTCTTCTCTTCTAAAGAGCAATTCTCAACCTCAAATTATTGTTGGATGGTGCCTACAGCTCTTTCTGCAGCCAAATTCCCTCATGTTTGGGTGCAGTTTCAGAGATTTACTCCGTCTTGCACCCAGCTTTCAAAGCTGGAGTGCTCCCACCCTCAGGGGTGTGCCCGCCTGGAGGAGGGACACGGGCAGCCTAGTAGCGAGGCGGGGAGGGGGGAAGAAGATTGTACCATGCTCCTGCAGCATCTTCCTGGAGCAAGTTATGCAAGTGCCTCAGCTCCAGGGAGGAGACCAGATGCTGATCTCTAGCTCTCTTCTTGAAACCAGCATAGGGGCAGTATCTGTGGCTGAAAACAGAGGGAACCAATGCTCTTTACAAAGAGTTGCCCTGAAGTAAAAGGCAAAACCAGGCTTATATTTCAGTTATGCTGTCTGCCCTTTTTCTTCAGTTTCCATCAGGCCTTTGAGCCAGAGCAACCCAACCGTGGAGATGAGGGAGGAGTGAGCAGTCTTTCTATATTTGGTTAATATTTGCATCTAAAGACTGATATTAGTTACTGTTTTCAGAGGCAATGGCAGTTTTCAAGGTGTTTACTGCAAATTACTCAGTCCAGGTAAAACACTGATGCATTCTCAAAAGAGGAGCAAAAGCTGGACTGGGGGTGGTGGACAGGGTCTTCGCCCCAGGTTGGCCATTGCTTCTGCTGTCTCATGCCCATTCTGTCCTACACTCATTGTGCTGGATTTTTGCAGTTTCTGAGAACAAAGCCTTGTGCCACCCCTCTTCTGTGGATTCTCTCTCAACCAGCGCTGCTACGGAGGATCACGTGTCCATGGGAGGATGGGCTGCAAGAAAAGCTTTGAGAGTTATTGAACACGTGGAACAAGGTAAAATTAAAATGCTGATTTCCAGAGAGACCTTATGTATCTAACTAGATGAAGATATTAATGCCATTCTTTTTAGATCTATTTTAACAATAAAGGAGTTAATGCATTTGAAAGAACTATCTAAAAATTATTATATTAAGTAAACACTTTTACATCCATTTGGACCTTTCTAACAGAAATGAGGTAAATCTAGCACTAAGTGTTTCTTGTGAAACAAAACTGCTTACTGCAGGGCACTCGGCAAAACTTTCCTCTCTTGCTTACAAGGACAGGTTGCTCTCTTGCTTATTTATTTATTTGGCAGATGGTGTGCTTAGATACAGATGTCAGCTGTTCGTGGAAGGGCAGAGTAATACACAGCACACAAATACTGAACTCACTTGCCCACTTAAGTTTATACATTTGAGTGCTCTGGAGACTTAGTTCTATGGAAATACATTTTTTGTGTGCAAATAAATGAGTTTGAGAAACCACATGTTTCAACAACATGCTGAGAAACAGTGTGTCCTTGATCCAGTTGGTTCACTCGGTTCCTTGGGTTAATTGGCTCATGAAAATGAGGAACTAATGCCAATAATGATCAGGTGTGAGGTGCGCAAATATGGTGCAAACTTCTCCAGGCAGAAGATTCTCTTCCAAACTCTGTAATTTTCCTGGTGCTTTCACATGGGCTCTTGCAAGCTTCATAGGCAGAACTTTTTTTTATAGCTCAGGTCCCTTTCTTATAAATCCTAAAGAGGTTTCCCAATTTATGGTGGCCATTAATCTGAGTATTCAAGATACCCTGGAAGAGATTCCTATGTATTTAAGACTGGTGACTAGGAGTTCCTTGCACACTGAAAGGGCTATATGGCAGAGCACCCAAAATCTGCCTGTTAAAATGCTGGATACCACCCCCAGCGCCATCTGTAAAATGATCCTGCTGCTGGGCTGCCTCCCTGGGGTGTGTGGATCCACTGATCTTTTAACATTGCCTGAAACCACATCATATTGGCCAGAACAAAGGCCAGGGGTAGCTTTATAAGGGAAACCTCACCTTGAGCTGGACCTGCCAAAAATCCCTTTTGCTGTTCTGATTTCCTAGTTCTGGCTATTGAGCTGCTTGCGGCATGCCAGGGCATTGAATTCCTACGCCCTCTGAGAACAACAACCCCATTGGAGAAGGTCTACGACCTTGTGCGCTCTGTTGTGAGGTAAGATCAGATAAACGCCTCCCCCCCGAGGTTGCCTGACAGGAGAACGGCTGCCAGCGGCGGGGGTTAATGTTTGGCCAATGTTCACAATGTTTCTCATTGCAGGCCTTGGATGAAGGATCGCTTCATGGCCCCAGACATCGAAGCAGCTCACAGGCTGCTCGTGGAGCAGAAGGCAAGTGTTGACTTTTGGCACGTGTGGTAGGACCGTGCTGAGGAGCGTGCTGCATATTTGGACATACCCCTCCATGCATTCACTGGATGTTCTCACTAAAAGCACTCTGCCTGAGGCGAACCCACCAGATTTCCTGAGATTTGGTTTTCCTTAGTTTTAGTGGGATAGACTTAGATATTGGCTCCTTACTTGCCCTGTGTAATAAATAGCTTACATTATTAAATCTGGCAGGGTCCAGACATAGGTCCAACTTTAAATTGTTGAGGGCAGGTCCTATAACCCCACAGATGTCCAGAGAAATTGGCAGTCTCTCCAGATGGTGATCCTCATTCCTGGGTCAGTGAGTGTTCCCCAGCCTTGAGACCCCTGGCAGTGGCGAAACACGTTGGCCTGGGCCAAGTGTTTGTACAGCTATGGGATCTATCTATTTTATTTGTTTGTAAAATATAAATAACAGAAGAATTGAGGAGAGTAAGCAAATGGAAGTAGAAAATCCCAATCCCTTCCCTTTTTCTTTGTCAATGCCAGCTGCCATTTTGCTTCCCCATACCCTTCATGACCAAGTGGTTTTGTAGCAGGTGACAGCAATCCTCTCCCAACTATTGCACACCAAGCATTAACCTGGTAACAAGACAAGACACAACGCTTTCACCTTGAGTCCTTTCACCTTGTCCTCTGGAGCTGTATCTTTTCCCATCCCCTGTCAACTCCATCCACATGCTCCTCCCTAAATCTCACTCTGGCTGCCTCTCTGGTTCTGCTGATCACATACAACATATCTACATAGGTCTGGAACTCTCACCTCCACCCCCATAACTTTTCTACAGTTTCCTGAACTTGTATGTTGATGTTTTACCTGACCTTTTGTTTTGCCTCTGACTGCTGTTTCACTTTCTTGTTTCGCAGGTGTGGGAAGTGGCTAAACCTTACATTGAAAAGTACAGGAGAGAACACATCCCTGAATCAAGACCCATTTCACCAACAGCTTTCTCCCTGGGAGCATTGGAAATGGATACGCATGTTGGTCATGACCACAGACATCAGGATGAACTTTGAGTTGCAGTCCTCTGGTAGAGAGCAGATCCTTTCCAGGACTTTGTCTTGACAAAGTTCCTGGTATCTGCCCAGTCTGAGACTGAGCAGATCCAGGAGCTATGAATGTTTCCTTAGGATGCTGTGGCCTCCCAGACTGCCAAGCAACATTCCAAATGTGCATGCCTGAGCCCCTGGCCCTGCATCACAGGCTACTTAACATCACTCTTCCCAATAAATCTTACCTAGATCCAAACTTCTTCATTCATTGGTGGTTTTTTTTGTTTAAGGGGTTTTTTTGGTTTTTGGGGGGTTTTTAAAGTATAATTATTTTATAGATTAAAATTGCATAGGAAAACATTTTTAGAAGCTGTCTTATTTCAATTAGATATGATTTGAAATTATTTTTATGCAGTGGAGAGAAGGACAACAGACATGAAAATGCACCAGATGGGTAATGCTTGGTAAAGTTTATTTGAATAAGAGGGCTGGTAAGGTGAGCAGGCAAGCAATTTACCAGTAAATACAAATCTGATTTGCCTGTTGCTTTGAAATATTCCATGCTAATTTGATTATAGTACTGTTTTCTGTCAGTAACTGCTCATTGCCCCACAACTCTCATTTTGATAGACGACTTTTCCTTTAACTATAACATAGTCGATCAACGCTTCATGTCCCCCGAACTGGTAAATCAGGTGCTCCCACCTAAAAAGACAACAAGATGTTTAAGAATATCCAGACTTACATAAAAGCGGGTCACATACCTAGTATACCTGGCAATTACAAAAGATTTGCTTGAACCATCAGAAAACACTATGCTATGTTTACAGGTTGATCTCTTGTTGCATTAATACAGTGAGTTAATGTACAAATCAGTAGAGAATTCTTTCCACAAAATAAACATGTATTATCTTTAGATAATTTGGTATTAGGTATGGATTATTTGTAGTATTATCCCCAAAAGTTTTAGGCTTTATTTTCCACTGGTGTGATTAAGATGAATGAAAGCAGGTCTAAAATGCTAGCAGTATCTCTTTTTTTTTTCCAGAGGAAAATAACTTCTAAAGCACAAGGAATTCACTAACCTCTCCACTATCCACAACATGGTGAAAAACAAAGTCCCTTATGTCAAATCACATTTCAAATGACAAGAGAAGAACAAACCTTGATGAATTTATGACAATAAGGTCCCCTTGCTTCCCAGTCTCTATGGAGCCATGCGTGTCCGATTTTCCCAGGGCATAGGCTGCGTTAATGGTGGCAGCTGCTAGTGCTTCATTCATTGACATCTTCATGTTTACACAGGCCAGATGCATCACCATAGGCTAGTAGGCAAGTTAGGTGGAAAATGGGAGTTACCAACAACAAATAAAGCTGTTCATGCCTCAAATCCCTAAGCACTCTCCTCCCTCCTTGCGCAACAGAAGGAGCTGCTCTGCATGATGTAAATCTTGCTACCTCTGAAATGAGACCACTAAAATCAGGAACTTGGAGAGCCTTTTCTATAAGCCTTTTGGTGCATATGAAGAATTAGAAGCCCTCCTGGTTTCAAGAATTTCCAGAAAAAAACTATCAACCCACATAAATAAGCATGAGCAGTTGTCTAAACTGGCCATGCAGTTTCTTTGCAGACATTAAGACTGTTTGAAGTGTACAATATACTAAGTTATACTGGTAAGAGATTTCATAATTTTATGTTGTCCTAAGTATGAGGAAGAGCTTACCATTGAAAAACAGTATGCATTAGGATTAAAGTCACTGCCAAGAGCCACTATAACTCCTTCTTCTAACATTTTTCTAGCTTGAGGTTGCTTCAATCTAGGGGAAAAAAGACACTTGAAATACAATTCATTTAGTTATTACATGATGAATTACAAGAGCAAAAGTCATCACTCGGTTTGGCTACATTCATGCCTCCAGTTACACTAACCCTTTTGTAGACAAAAGGCTAAATTCTCTTGGCTCCCTGCCTATCACCCTATGGACAGCACAGATGGGAACTGTGATCCACTGCTTTTGCAGTAACAGCATGTGGCGGCCGCCACTATCAAGCATCAGGCTCCAGGCCACTGAAATTCTGGTATTTTTCCAGATCTCAGCCACTTCAGGATTTACAAGGTGAAAATCTTCATTTCTCAAAAAAGTAATTTTCGAGTCCTTATAGCTTCAAAGACAGGCTCCCAAATATGAGCAGTGGCATAAGCAATGCAATAGTCCCTTCTCAATTCTGTTGGCAATTTCAAATAGTACATTGAGGCTGTGAATTTAATTTGTATACATTAGAGGATATTCTCACTTTGCAATGCTAATGCAAAAGACACCTTCAAGCACTTCAGTATCTGGAACAGCAATTTCAAAATTGTTTGGCAACTGGATTAATTTAGGTGGTGTTTGCAAGGGTGGGCACTAGGAAATACACTCTCTACGAAGTTTTAGCCACAGTTGTTTTAAAGCGTCAAACACTGTGTCCAAAAATAAACCAGTATGACAAAGAAAATTAAACATTAGAGCAACTGCTGCTCAAAAATTATTATTAAAAGCACTGCAGTTAACAGAAAAGAACATTAAAAGAGATGTCAACAAAGTGCTTACATTTAGTATAAATCAATCCTCTCCCTATAGAAGCCTCTTAGCAGTTTTATGATAAAATATCACCCATTCAGACACAACACAATGGTCTGGGAGTTAACTGTTTAAAAGGATTTGTCTGAAGAGTTACTCCCCGTCCCCATGTGTCCTTCCAGCCTCTGCATCCCCTGCTGTGCTCTGCTGCCAGACTCCTTAGGAGTACTGCAGGCAGTAGTTAGCAAAGGCCAAAATGAGAGTGTGCTGGCCATTAAGCAACTCTCCAGCTGCACTCCTTGGCCCACTTCTGGCCATCAGCTGAAGCCCTGGCTGCTAGTGCTTTTCTTAAAATCAGGACAGCAGGACCTCTCAAGGTCTGAGCTCTCACCAGTGGTGCTGAAGGAGCTGAGGGAGGTCAGCAAAGCATGTACCACATCGCCTCACCGCAGCTGCCTCTACACAATGCACAGCTTTCAGCCCACTGATACTCTTTTAACCAGTATCTCAAATGTGGCTTCTTCATTTTTAAAGTGTATTACACTGGGAGGCCTGTGTTCAATAGTGCACTGGACACCAGGACAATGGAGGCCTCATTTCCTATGGCTCATTATTATCCCCACTGTAGGCTTATCCTGAGGTTATAAACATTCCACTGCATGCAGTCTCTGGAGTAACACATGAGTTACAGCCACAGGCTTTTCCACAGGTGACTGCATCTATGCTTATCTGGAATACCTGCATATAGAAAATAGAGTTCTTAAGGCAATTATCCTCAGCGTTACCTGGGTAAAATCAGATGAGATTTTTAAAATGCTACCCACGGTCTTTCAGCTCTTTAGATAACCAAAGGATTAATTTCTCAGCAAAACCTTCTGCAAGAGAGCAAATATATATATTGCAGATACAATTTGTCTGAAAAGAATCCAATTCAGTTTTCAAAGTCTACATGGATTAAAGAAAACTAGTCCACTTTTCTTCTTAACTTAATGCCTGATTATCACCTTAGCCTGTCATAAGGGTAAATTCCAGTGTTGACTGAACCACTCCTAATCTGCTGCAAGACTTCTCAGAAGTAAGATAATTGCCTCATTTTTTAAGATCTCCATGAGGAACAAGATATAGGGAGGCTCACTCAGCTCTTTCTGATTCTCTTGTGATTGTCTTCACCGACCCAGCCTGATCCTTAAGGCATAGATACAAACTTACAGTTTTACATTAAAAGACTCTAAAACCACAAATAAATTTTACTGTTACAAAAGTTGTCCTCCACTCTAGTGGCCTTACCTTAGCATGTAGGCAGTTGTTGGTAAAAGGACGGCGGCGCACTTAGCTTTTGCCATTTCTGCGATACCTTCATCACTAACTTCTTCCAGGTGGCTGATAGCCCGGGCTCCTAGTTCAGCTCCAAGCTAAGCAAATTTTCAAGAAAATTACTCACTGTTCTCAACTAGTTCAGTAAAGCAGTGCTGTTATCAAATGACTGGAGGAGACAATTCACTATTAATATAAAATTAACTAAAAGAAAAAAATAACAAATGCTTGAAAGAACAAAATGCAGAGACAAAATATTTACTAATTTACTGCAGGAAGAGTTGATCACAAAAAGGTATTAACCATTCACCGAGTGGAAGCGCACCTTCAGTGGCGTTTTTAACAGACTAACATGCGAACTATGGGTCCGCTATGGATAAAACCATCATCACTCCTGTTCACAAAGTATCCAGCAGAAAAGGGTTGACAAAACTGACACTGGTTGCAGAACTAGTAGTGCAACTGCTGCCTTCAATGGTGAAGCACCAAAAAGGCTTTTGCAAGTAATCAAGTTTTTTGTTTGTTTGTTTTTAAATACAGCAGAGAATAACTTGAGCAGACCCCACAGGAAGGAAGCAATGTTTAAATGATGGTGAAAAATGGTCTCAGAGTGACTTTCTTTATCAAAATATTTGGGAGCCTGTTCTTGACTAAACCATCCCTCTGAGTGTGCTCACTGCACATCTGACTTGTCACTGCTAACAGGACATTCAAAGAAAAAAGATTTTTCAAGTTGCAAAGGAATCATGTTTTTGTCATTCTTGGGTTCATGGATATCCACCTTCCCCACTGGTATCCCAAGTGGAAGATAAGCAAAGTCAATATTTGATTAGGCAGTGCGTGTTAGTCCCAGAGGTCAAGGCTTCCTCCCATGTCCTTAACTCCAAAGCTGCACAAGGGCTACACTTTCTATCATCAGATAGAAAGAGATGTCTATGAATGGTCTATTTTATAGAGTCTTAGAAAAGAAAACCTTGGTTTTGAAAACTGTAATTCTTTCAAAGATTCAGCTCTCACAAAAGCAAAGCAAAAATGGCTTAACTGAATGTTAAGAAAGTCGTACCTCAGCAGATTTCATCGGATGGAGTTCATCACCATGGAAGTTAATCTGTAACCCTATATCTTTTCCAGCTTGAAGAATTCTCCTAGTAGAATCCAGATCAAAGACTCCCTTCTCACAGAACACATCTATATTGTTAACATGTATTTCACCACTTAGTTTGAGTTCTTTCAGTTTAGGGAGATGGTTATTGATAATGTCATCTGCGGCTTCGGTAGCAGTCTTCCCTCTAATGAAAAGAAAATGTTACAGACCCGTAAGAATAACATCCTTGAAGTCTGGCAAACTTTCAAATTGTACATGCAATTACTAGATTATTTAAAAATGATGCAAATACAAATCACTCAAAAAACCTTCAGATGAAAAAATTTAAAACTACTGTAATTCATGTACTCTCAAACACTAATTACTTTCCATTCAAAGAATATTAGATTGTATTACTAGGCATTTTTTATAAGGTTACCTTCTTGGATGCTAACCAAGACATGGGAATTTTAAAACAAAGTCTTCTGCTTTCCTATTCATATAGTCTGACCTACTTATACTGTATTCCAAAACACATTTAAAACATGTAAATTATTATTTACATATTTTAAATAGTATTCATGCAATATTTTTATGCAAGTATCAAAGCTCAAAGATGTGCAGCACAAGTAATTATTTTAAATGTACCTCTCCTGCTTTTATATCATGCAGAGTGATAGCTAGATAACTCTTTCTAAATCAGAGTGGCCTCCAGAGGTTTGATTTGCCAAAGTCAGAACCATTTATGAACCCCCTATTACACAAAGATAACTCGGGAGAGATCAGTAAACGCCTTTGAATGAACGAACAATCCCAAAATATGCAGCTGAGTTAGTATTTTGCAACTTTAAGACCTAAAGGTAAGTGACATACTGCAGCTTAATGTCTGTGACATCTCAGTCCTCATTTCAGGTGCTGTAAGGCACGCACAGACCAGCATCATACAAGTGTCACGTGTGGGTTTGCTGGGAGCTGTACAGTGGGAGTAAACTCAAGAAGCCAAATTCTGCTTGGATTTACAAACAGGTTGTGCAGTTATAAAGCAGGGCAAAACCCGGCTTATGGCTCTTCTTTTGTTCACCTCTCACTGAAACAATCACTGGGGTTGCTCATGCTTTTACCATGCCAAGACTTCTCCCTTCCCTTCTTTTACTCAGCAGCCTTTGGAGGAACTTGGACTGAAAGATTAGGACCAGAACAGAGAAGAACTTAAGTTGTGGTTTCACTTTCTGGAGGACACAATGCCCAAGAATGCAAAACTGCTGTTGGTCAAAAGCAAGAGACTTCTGCTGAGGAAATAACTTTGAAAATGTCTTCCTAAAGATGAAAAGGGCCCAGTGAACCCTTGTCAATAATAATAATAATAAAAGAAAATTAATCTCAGACATCATCAAAATAATGAATTTGATTGAAAATTATGACTAGAAGGATGATAGATCACTTATTTCTTTGCCCCTTTGCTGTGAGATTTTTAGGTTTGTTTCCTAAAGAACTGGAGATACTTTTGGGTCTGGAAGTTCCAAGGCTGGAAACATTTTTTAAAAGTGATGGACAGGAACAAGGATCACTACAAACAGAGCAGCCTTATTTTTCTCTAGAATGGTTCAGACTGAAGTAGCCTGCACCGTTTGGCACACATCAGCAAGTACTGCCTATTACCAACGCCCTGTATGATAGTCCCACAGAATAACTGTGTTTGTAAGGACCTCTGGAGCACACCTGATCCAACCCTTGGTGCACAGCAGGGTCAATTTGAATCATGTGTCAATGGTGTCTTTCAGTTCCTGGTGATTATACAGGATGCCTTTTGAATAGTTACAGTAACAAAAGATAATTTGCTGTCCTGCCCCAAATACACAATAATTAGATTGCAACTAGATTTTTTTAGGTCATGTTTCCTTGAATGTTGGAAGAGGTAGATTTTTTTAATATGCACTTTTTTAAATGAACATCTCTTAAATATTGCCACAGTATCCCTGTGATGTGAGGCCTGCTCCATCTTCAATGCCTTGTTTTGCAGTTGCCTACTGCTTACTCTGTCAAAATATACATTTCACACACATCCACCTAGCTAAAACTCATTAATTCTTTCATACAATGAAACCTGGTAATTTGAAGGTGTTATTTTCATCAGAGGGAAAAAAATGTCAAAGTGAGAAAGGCTTGTTATGATATGTCTACCACATGGTAGACATGTGAGCCATCAAAATAATTGTGATTAAGCACATTTACTTTAATCTTCTATTCATCTCATATCTATAAGATGTATGCAATTCTTCATTGCATGGAAGCATAAGTAGAGCTTTGTTTACGGAGGCACATGAGGATTAAATACAGTATTTTTTTCTGTTAGCTTATCAAAATAAAAGCTTATGGCAGAGACTAAGCTTGAAGAGTAGCAGCAAACTGAAGCAGAAGAACTTTCTGTACAGGAAACCCTATAGTTTGCATTATGTTCAGTGTGAGCATCAGCTGGAGGCAGGGATTCTGTGCTAAGTTTATGTTGGCATTTAGTAGCCATTAAATAATGCTTCCCCATCTTCCTTCAAATTAAATTTAGGAGAGTCTTCTGTAAACACTGGCTATTGTTTCAAATAGGCTATATATGGGCAGAAGAAATCATTCTGGAAATAACAGTCAATTTTCAATGCAAAACAGTAACACTTAATAAGAGCAAGAAAAATGAAGTCATATCACTTTGGCACAGAATGAGCTCCACAGTATGTTGATGAAATGCCAATATCCAAGGACTGCTTAGCGCGTTCGATCACCCTGAGCATTTTAAGCTCTGTTTCTAAGTTTAAGCCATATCCACTCTTGCACTCAACCAACGTAGATCCTGCTCTGCGCATGCGTTCAAGTCGGTGTTTGAAAGTATCGAACAGCTCTTCTGCTGTGGCCTTCTGAGTGTGTTCCACAGTAAAATGTATTCCTCCCCCAGCCTGGTGGATCTCCATATAGGATGCACCTGCCAGCTTGAGGATAAAAAAAGAAAACAAAAAACAACCCCCCCATACAATTAGCTATTATATGTGCATTTTCTGTCCAAGGGATTCTGGAAAGTGCCTTGAGGTCTCCTTGTGGTGAGACAGAAAAGGGGGGTTATCCCCATTAATTCTTCCTCCCTCTTCCTTCTCTCTCCCTCCCACATAAATGAAGAAATAACATAAGAAGCGAGACAAACAGAATTGCTCTGAAGATGTGCTTCCCCCTGAGCCCAAGGGGAAAACCTATCTCAAGCTCAAAAATTCATTTATGTGGGAAAAAAAAATAAATCAAGATTTAGATGGTAATAGAAGGCAGCACTCCTATATGGCTTCAGTTAATGCAAAAATATATCAAGGTGGCTGCAAAGGCTGCAGTTACACTCCTCTCTGAACCTACCAGTATTTAAAAATCATCCCTCCTCCCTCAGTTAGATTATCTGACAGAAATTACATATTTTTCTGCAAATGAAAGATGGGAGTCACTAGCAAGTAGAAATAGTTATGCAGGAAAAGGAAAAAGAAAAAAGAAAAAAGAAAAAAGAAAAAAGAAAAAAGAAAAAAGAAAAAAGAAAAAAGAAAAAAGAAAAAAGAAAAAAGAAAAAAGAAAAAAGAAAAAAGAAAAAAGAAAAAAGAAAAAAGAAAAAAGAAAAAAGAAAAAAGAAAAAAGAAAAAAGAAAAAAGAAAAAAGAAAAAAGAAAAAAGAAAAAAGAAAAAAGAAAAAAGAAAAAGATAAATCCAGATGTGTAATTTTGTGCCATTACCTTCATTGCAAACTCATGAACCCTATCACCAGCCCACACTGGGTGTGTATGTGCATCTACCAGGCCTAAAGAAAACAAAGTAAATGTACACTCAGGTTATTTCACTGTGTAAAGCTTATAAACATGCAAGCAAATGAAATGGACAGCAAAAGCTCTGCTACAAAGTCTCTATACATTAGAGAAAAAAAAAAAAATCTAGCCAAACCAGCCAAAAATCTAGCATTTTCTTCAAAGGCTATTAATTTTCTTTCCAATTTTTCAGGTGTACTGGCTGACACCTTAGGCAAAACATCTCTAGGTAAATGCATCAGTTGCTCAGTTTATCATGTTCTTTTGATGATGCTTTCAAACTGTGGAAGACGTGATGAATCACAAATTTTGAAATAGTTCATTAGACTTTAAGTCTGTGTTTGTTAAAAAAAGCAAAGTGCTGAGGCTGGGCTTGGTACACCAGCACTTACTCTAGCAATAGTCCACCTGCTCCAGCCGGAGCTTTTTCTACGAGCTGTGAAACCAACACTACTGAATGTCTAAGGCCACTGCAAACAAAACAGGTCTAACAGCTCAGGTGCTAACACCACTTGCAAATTTTAACATGCGATAGACTTGTCCAGGTTTATGTTTTTATCAGCTAAAGCTGCAGAGTATGTAACTTAAAATACTGCACTGCCTTTTTGCCTCCAACTGGCTGTGTGCAGCAGAGAGAGATTGAGCTTCATGGCTCAACAGTGGACAGGTGAAAAGGGTAGAGAAAAGAGATATGATGCTGAAAAGTCACTTGGCAAGCCAGCTGCATTACTGTTGTGATCTATGACACAGAGAAACAGATGAAAAACAAAACAGGGGGAGACAGAGCTCTACCGCAAAGCCAAAAAAAAAAAAATTCCCAAATTGGTGCAATTTTCTCCTTGCAGCACTCCTGACGAGAAGCTACAATACTCTGCCCCTCAACACAAGATATTATCAAACCAGTACTGAATAGAGAGGAAAAAGGATGGAGGGATGTTTAATACACATTTACTTTGTCTCTAAGCACTTACATTCGGCATTGTATCATTATGAAAAAAAATAAACCTACCTGGTAACACACACTTCCCTGAACAGTCAATTATTCTTTCAAATGTTGCTCCTGAGAACTGATTGCGAATAACATCTGCCTGGCCCACAGCTTTGATACAACCATCTCTGCGAACAACAGACCACAAACAGAGGAAGCGTGAGCCTGCTGAAAAGTCAAGTGCTCACTGACAGAGCTCCTGGCACAACAACTCTCTGGAAGCAGGGGTAGGGACCTTCAGCAGTTATGCGCACAGGAGGTGGCTTGCTCATCTTACAGAAGCACAGAAAACAATGGGGTAATGTAATGCATTTCCAGTTGTTTGCCGTAACACTTTGCATGTCCTCTGCTTAGATCCCTCAGGACGATACCTTGGTATTCTTTTGTTCTAATTTCTGATAGACAACCTTATTTTTCTCTTGTGGATCTGCAAATACACAGCATTCCTCTAGCAAGTATCTGCAGGGCACTCGTGCCCTCACGGAAATCAAACTGCCATCGCCAGCCTCCACTGCCTGGAACTGAATTATACCCTTGTGCCCTTGGAAGCCGTAGGGAATAAATCTCCCTGGGGCTGATCTTCAGTTCAACAGCCATTTTCGCCCAGTGGAGCTCAAGGATGGTACTGGGGACCCTACACTGCACTGGAGGGATCCCCTCCAGCCATGCATGGAGCTCCACCTCACCCACACCAGAGGAGCCTCCCGGGGCACAGGTGGCACCTCTGTCCTTTCAGCCTTGTCTTTCTCCAGCTCTTCCCAAGTCACTGGAATAGGAATTGGGAGTCATCATGGGTACCTCACTGAAGGTACCTCTGTGCTACACAGCTAAATTTTTAAGAGGTAAATAGCAGTTAGAGCATTTAGAAATGGGGGAGTAGATATACGTGTAGATTATTAACTATAACTTCATTGATTACAGAAATTATTTATAGGACTGCTATTAGTTCATGTCAGGTCACCCAGAAACAAGGCAGAGGCAGAAGAGGGCAGCAGTCATGGCCAAGGCCAGGCCAGAAGGACCGTTCCGCGGCGGGAAGCGAGCACAGAGCGCGGCAGAGGCAGCTGCGGGGTGGGACTGAAAGAGCCAGCGCTGCCAGGGCACGTTCCGAGGCAGGCAGG